GGCCGGGGGGCGCCCGCTCACTCGCCGCCCTGTCCTCCGCCCCGCCCCGCGCGCAGGCATCGTGCTCGACTCTGGCGACGGCGTCACCCACAACGTGCCCATCTATGAGGGCTACGCCCTGCCGCACGCCATCATGCGCCTGGACCTGGCCGGCCGCGACCTCACCGACTACCTGATGAAGATCCTCACTGAGCGTGGCTACTCCTTCGTGACCACAGGTGCGCGGCGCTCCGGGCACCCGGGGCGGGCTGGGTGGCGTGCGGGCCCCGGGGCCCTGCGCTGAGGGCTCCTCTCCTGCCCCCCGCCCCCCACAGCTGAGCGCGAGATCGTGCGCGACATCAAAGAGAAGCTGTGCTACGTGGCCCTGGACTTCGAGAACGAGATGGCGACGGCCGCGTCCTCCTCCTCCCTGGAGAAGAGCTACGAGCTGCCCGATGGACAGGTCATCACCATCGGTAACGAGCGCTTCCGCTGCCCGGAGACGCTCTTCCAGCCCTCCTTCATCGGTGAGTCCCGCTCGCGGGCCTCGCCAGCAGCCCTGGGGCCGCGCCGCCCAGCCCCGCCCGGCCCCCGGGTCGCCCCCCGCCGGCTCACGCTCCTCCCTGCGGCCCCCAGGCATGGAGTCGGCGGGCATCCATGAGACCACCTACAACAGCATCATGAAGTGCGACATCGACATCAGGAAGGACCTGTACGCCAACAACGTCATGTCGGGGGGCACCACCATGTACCCGGGTATCGCCGACCGCATGCAGAAGGAGATCACGGCGCTGGCCCCCAGCACCATGAAGATTAAGGTGGGCGGCGGCCCGCGCCCCCTGCCCGCGCCCCCTGCCCGCGCGTGGGCTCAGGGCTGCGGCCTTCACCCTCCTGACGCGCCACTGTCTTTCAGATCATCGCCCCACCTGAGCGCAAGTACTCGGTGTGGATCGGCGGCTCCATCCTGGCCTCGCTGTCCACCTTCCAGCAGATGTGGATCACCAAGCAGGAGTACGACGAGGCCGGCCCCTCCATCGTCCACCGCAAATGCTTCTAGACCCCATTCCACCAACAGCGCTCGAATTCTCCTCAGGACGACAAATCGGCTCAGGTTGCAGGTGGCTGACCTCGAGCCACCGCGCAGCAACTTCGTCTCTAACAACTTGAGTTGCTGCAGCCGCAACGCGACACAATGTTTATAAAGTGTACATACATTAACTTATTTACCTCATTTTGTTATTTTTAAAACAAAGCCCTGTGGAAGGAAATGGAAAACTTGAAGCATTAAACTCAGCCATTCTGTCTGTTGCGTAAAGTTGTTTGTTGTGTTTACTTGCGGGGGGGGGAGGGCACAGGGGAGAAAGAGGGGCCCCATCTTCTTGTGTCACTTTTCACAACACTCGGAATGAGTGAGCTCCGAGCCACACCATTAGTTAAGTCTTCCCATGCTCACGGTCCCCGCCCCCCCCATCAGATCCATTTCCAAACACTGGCAGGCCCGTCGAGGGCCCGACCTGGCCCCCCGGTGTGTGCTGAGGAAGCTCTCCCTCTCCAGGGCGCTGCACTGAGCCCCAGGCTCGAGGGGGGCCGCGGGCGGGTGGCTCTGGCCGGCCACCGATGCAGGCATCGGGCGCTGTCCGCGGTGCTGGCGCCCGAGAGCCGCTCCCCCTACGGCCGGTCGGGCATTCCCTTAAGGAAATCAGTATTCCCTCCTGAATCTCGAGATCTAACTGAAAGGGCTGTGTTCTGCATTTAACGAACCAGTTTTCATTTGTAAGTGAAGACAATCACTTAACTTCCAGACCGGGAAGTCCTTTGCTTCATGCCAAGGTGATGGTGGTATAAAAATGTGCCTCTTCCGGTGTGGGGCTGGGGAGGGGCCGCGCCCAGAGGTGGGAGGAGGGTGAGGAAGGGCCAGATGAGCGGGCCAGAAAGGACAGCATATGCTGGGCATGCACAGACACCAAGGGCAGCCCAGCAAGGAGGTGTCTGCAGGGAGTGGAGCTGAGACTGGCACTGGAAGAAAAGGGGTAGCCAAGGGAGGAGGAACACCACCCCCTCCTTTCCACCACTGGCCATATTCTAAAGGCACAAAATATACTAACAGAGGTGGAATTTCTATGGGAGAGCGCAGTACCTACTTGTTTAAAAGCTAGCTTAATGTTTTCTAGTCAAGATGACCAAGGACAGTGGTACCTGAATAAAATAGATTGACTCAAAGAAGGTAATAAGTTTGTAAGCAGAATCAACAATATGCAATGTTATAAGCCACATAGCCATATGTTTATTCATTGTCTCCTTTTATGGCCTATTGAAAAGTTTCTGAAATCCTTGAGGCCTCTAATGTGGGAATACTGCCAAACCCAGATATCAAGAAAATCAATAATTCAGTAGAATTTAAAATTTTAATAAAACAAGTCTATGATGCCATGTATTATTGCCCCATGAAAGGTGGATAAATGTTAAAAATGGCCCAAGTTCTAGTCTCTTGGAGGAATCTAGGTTTTATTGATAATGACAAGTATACATAGGCATATCTAAGCAAATCACACCCACGTACACACAGACTGAATAATTCATGTAGCCAGCAGCTTGGAAAAATGTCAGAGTTACATGAGTTAACTAATTGTCATGTTAAGAGTTTTCTAACCAAAACCCAAAATCACTTAAGTATTTCAGTAAGGTAGGTAAGGAGATAATGACCCATTTCTCCTGTGATCATAATCATTACATGACTCATGGTCATTTAGAACTCACAGAAGTTTTCAGTATAATCTGGTAGCCTTTCCTTGTGCACTACCTTTGATACTGCTCGTCTACTGAAAAAATGTGCAAATATTATTAATTGTGTGGTTTCACTGGGAATGTGCCAAATCTAAAAATTACTTTCCTTACCAACACGACTCTAAAAACAACAACAACAACAACAAAACATCACACCTTTTATTAGTGTTCTGTTAGCTTTCCTGCTTTCCTATTAGGTCATGATTATAGGTATTTGGTAAATTGTATTACCTATATTTGTCCTGAAATAGGATGGTGGGTGTGGTAAAGAATGAGTCGTTTGAAAATGTATATCTAGAGCATATACAGATGTTTGTGCTGGGTGAGAGGAGAAAAACTGAGTCCAGCAGCTCTAAGAGTGTTTGTAGTAAGAGGAACCAAGAAGTCCCTGTGTGGTGGCAGTGGAGCGAATAATGTTACATCCGATTCCCCAACTGAACAGCCATCTCAGAGAATCAGTTTTTGGAGCAGTGATAGAATTGAAAACAACAAACCTCCCCCCACCCTGCCCCCCATTGCTTATGGTGTGTTTCCTTAGACGTGGCAGTGGGACTTATCAGGGATCTTATTTCCTTCTCACAAAAGCTTATGAAGTCGCCACCAATTTGTTTTCACTAAATCTATATGACTAGTGTTCTTTTGAGGAAAGAGGGAATAGAGAAGAACATGAGAAGAGAGAATGTGTCAGGATTAAAAAGGATTAAGGTTGAGTGGGAGAAAGGAAAGGACCCCATACCACAGTACACCCTAGGCTCCATCATTTAAACCTTTGGAAGTTCAAATTGGACCATCGAGTATCAGGGTGCCTCCCAGCTGCATCTGTCCCCTGACCTATTACCCCAGATGTGGTAGAACCCACAAAAGGTTAGTGAAATATTTTGTTGCCCACGTACCATGTGCAAGGGGTACAGAGAGGACTAAGAGCTTGGTGCCATGATCCCAAATATCACCGGACACATATGCCTTGACTCTGATTACCACAAAGCCTATCGGAGCTCCTAGAGGCGGGGCCCACTCTGCACTGTGAACCATTCGATGCTGTGGACACAGTGGCTGTTTTGTAGCCTGTTCAGCCACTTGCCACTATGAGGCTGGCTCCCTCCCGTTGTTTTCTGACAAGGCTCCATGGGCTCCAAATATTGGTTCTTATGGGGAAACACATCCCTCATTGTGCTCAAGAGGGTCTGCCCTGCCTCTGGTGCTGGGGACACAGAGTAGCACGGCCTCTTACCGGGTAGTGCCTCAGCCCCGAGGACTGGAGGTGGAAATGGACTCATGCCACAGAACGGCACTGCCATGTGGGCATCAGCTTACCTACCTGACTGCCTCCTTCTCCTCTTTGTCTCATTTCTGTCACTTCCATTTCCTTTCTGTCCTGTACTGTCATTTGGAAGGCATCCATTTCAGCACCATTGATATGTCATAGTTCTAAACCTCATCTCTGTGCAGAGTTGCTGGTGACTAGAGCTGGTCTCAGGAATGGCAGATTCTTTGTATCATGGGCCAAGGGGCAGCCATAACACCCTTGGATCCTTATGCTACCACATCTTCACTTCTTTCCTTCATGGCACCTGTATGAGGATCCTGTGGTTGCTGTAACAAATTACCACAAAGCAGGTGGTTTAAAACAACGGGAGCTAACTTTTTCACAGTTCTGGAGGCTACAAGGCCAAGACCAAGGTGGTGGTGGGATTGGTGTCTTCTGAGGCCTCTTTCCTTGGCTTATAGATGGCTATCTTCTCCCTGTGTCCTCACTTTGTCTTCCATCTTTCCATGTCTGGGTCCAAATTTCCTCCTTATAGAACATCAGTCTTGCTGGATTTAGTGCCCACCCTAATGACTTCATTTCAATTTAATTACCTCGTGATAGACACCGCCTCTGAATACAGTCACATTCAGAGGTACTGGGTGTCAGGAGTTCAACATATGAATGGGGGAGGTTTGCACAATTCAGCCTCAAATAGGGGCAGCAAATTGGCCCACTATAGTACCTAAGAAGCCCTATAACAACTCATTTGTATTAACATTAGCAGTTCATTTTAATAAGTCATGCATCTCTTACATTAATATTTTGTCTATGCTATATGAAGCACTCTCACATACATGAACTGATTTTAACTTACAAGGTAGCTAGGATAGAGAATATTATGCCACTTTTATAAATGATAAAACTGAGACTTCAAGATTGAATGACTTGCCCAAGTTTATAAATTAGGAAAAGTGGTAGAGCAAAGACTTGAACCTGGAACTCTTGACTCTATTCTTTTATTTTCAACCTTGGTATGTCCTTATACTTTATATGTATTTCTTGTAAGCAGCATATGATTAAATATGCAGGATATTTTCCAGCAGGATAATTTTGTCTTTTAATCGAAACACTCAGTCCATGTATATTTGATGTAATCACTGACGTATTTGGATTGAATCGATGATTTAACCAGTGGGGAGCCTGCCATGGGGCTCAATCTCACGACCCTGAGACCATGACCTCAGCCAAAATCAAGAGTTGGACACACAGGTGAGTGAGCCACCCACGTGCCCCCATTCTATCTTTTTAAACCCCCAGATATTATCATTTGTTATACATCAGCCATGGCTTTAACCTCCTCAAGATATTATAATTGTTTTATACAGTTTAGATTTACTTGTATATTAACAATTTTCTTTGCCCATTTCTTGCTTTCTATGGATCCAAGTGGGATCATTTTTTGTTTCTGCTTGAGCACAGTCTTTAGAATTTTTTTATGAGAATCTGTTGGTCGCATATCCTCAGTTTTTGTTTGTCTATGTATGTCTATTTCTCCTTCATTCTTGAGAGAATTTTTTCCTGAACCAGAATTCCTGGTTGACAGTTATTTCTTTCACCATATTGAAAATGACATTTCTCTATTTCCTGAGTGCTGTTGTTGCCGTTGAGATGTCAACAGTCAGCCTGGTATTTTTTTTTAAATTTTTTTATTTATTCATGAGAGACACAGAGAGAGAGAGAGAGGCAGAGGGAGAAGCAGACTTCCTGCTGAGCAGGGAACCCGATGTGGGACTCCATCCCAGGACCCTGGGATCATGACCTGAGCTGAAGGCAGACGCTTAACCATCTGAGCCACCCAGGCACCCCAGCCTGGTATTTCTTTGAGGCAATCTGTATTTCTCTCTCCCCACCTCTCAGCTTTTTTTTTTTTTTTAAGGTTTCTCTTTGCCTTTGATATTCTGCAGTTTCTCTGCGATGTATCTGATGTATCTAATTGCGGGTTTCTTTTTTACTTATCTTCTTTGGAATTCATGAGCTTTTCAAATATGTGGATTGGTGTCTTTTCAACAGGTTTCGGAAATTATCAGCCATTATTTCTTCAAATACTGGCTCCAGTCCCATGTTTTCTTTCTTTTCATTCTGAAGAATTGACAAATTTGGCTTCACCAAAATTAAAATACTTGCTCATCAAAGGACATCATTAAAAAAAATGAATAATCAAGTCTAGTACTGGGAGAAAATATTTGCAAAACATACCTGACAAAGGTTTGGTATCCAGGCTA